TGCACTGACTCCACTTCTGCGTACGTGGGGGCTGCAAGGGCATTGGCCTCGCCGACCATGCCTCCTGCACGGAAGAGGATTACTTGGCTCCCATGCTCCATCCATGTTTGCAACAAATTGATGTCAGACATGGGGACGAGTTGCGACGCGTTTGTGGACGCTATCACACGGGCTTGTGTGCTGGTTGTTTTTTTCGAAACCCACCAGGCCGCCCTTCATTTTTTTAGGATGCGCAGCCCCAACAAGGGGCTTATTCTTTCTTGCAAGATGCGATTCACGTCTGTTTATTCCATGCTAGAGAGGCTGTTGGCCCTGCAGGACACTTTGCAGGACATGATGCGAGGGGTTGACGTGTGGGCTTTTGCTTCCATCCCGTGGTCCGCCGATGTGTGCATCATGGCGCGTTAGGTGCGCCGACAGATCAGATGGGATCTATGGTGGCAGAGAGTGGCCACCATCGTCCATATCATGCAGCCCGTCATGGAGTTGCTAAGGCGGATGGATCGTGGAGGACAGTACATGTCGCTCATGATCGAGTGGACACAAGATCTTGTCCGCCGTGTCATGAACGCATGCCCTCCTTTGGGGAAGTCGTTCGCTGACCGGATCATCAGGCGTGTGCAGGCTCGTATAGAGCACATGCTTGAGCCGGCTCACTGTGCAGGGTTCTTACAGAACCCCCACAGGCGACACGTTCGCTACGTTTCGGGCGAGGTTCATTGGTACCATACTTGGCTTGTGGGGCAAGCCAAGAGGTACATTCTGACGCAGACGGGTTTCGAGTTGGAGGGTGTGGAGTACATCCTTGCATGTCGGTAGTTTGAGGACTTCCACATTCAGCAGGGCAGGTTCGGGGATTGGGGCGGCCCGGAGGGGCATGCTTGTGGGCGCGCGTGATGCGGCGACAACGAGACGATTGAGTGTGTGTCTTGGTGGTCTTAGTTCGGGGCGGGCGCGCCAGAGTTGCAGCGGTGCGCTCTTCGGGTGATGCACATGTGGTCTTGCGCCTCTCCAGCAGAGAGGAACTTGGCAGTCCACGAGGGCATTCACACGAAGAAGCGCAACCAGTTGGCCTTCGAGAAGGTCGTTCAACTCGTTGAGATCACCGCAAATGTGCGGTTGACGGAGTATCGGCGTGTTGGATGCGGTTAAGTGCTGCTATGGCAGCGGGACGAGGGCATGCTGGATTGCCAGGCAGGACTCGAGGTGGAGCGTGTGTGCACGGGCATGCGTAGGGGGAGGACGAGGGAGGAGATTGCCCGTCAGGTTGCGCTTATTACCCGGGATCTGTGTATTTTTTTAACGGAGAACGGGCGAAGTTATACGCCCGAACACCCGTTTAACGGGCCCCAGGACCCCCCTTGAATCACGTTAAACGCAAAAACGGGGGCGTCGCGTCGAATTCCAAAAAACGAAATTCGCGCGTTGGGCCTCGGATACGTGTGCCTACGTGCCCGAACACTCAAACCGGAAAAAATAAAATAAAAATCAGCCCCAGTTATCACCCCCCCCACACAACCGTAAAGGCCCAAAAAACCCCTATCTGACCACAAACACACCCCCGGACCCCATCCCCCCAATTAGCCCCACCCCCAATACCCCTCACCCCCAGCCCCCACTA